TCAGCTGCTGAACTACTCAACTGCCTTGGAGCTTGAGGTAGAGTCCATATCCACCACCCATGTGCCAGTCTGTGACTAGGGGCTTCCAGATTTCACAATCCTGCCCCCGTCACCACTCGCTGATCGCCATCGGACTTTTTGTTGGTTGGTTTTTATTTTTCTTGGAAGATGCCTGTGCATGAGTTTTTTTAATGTGTGGAGGTCGGTGCACAGCCGGTCAACACACAGTCTTCACAGAGTGAGGTCCCGGCATGGCTAACACAATGATGGTGGCTTCTCAATCTGTTGCAGCCTTCTTCCACCTTTGCAGCTGTTTTAATATGTACTATATTATCCTCCACCTGCTTTACCATTGAGGTCTTTGGGTCTTTGGATTGTGCTTGGTCTGGAACCTCCCCCGTGGCTACTCCTGGGAGTGCACGACTCCAGTCGTTGTGCCTACAGGTTTATTGGAACATGCAAGCCCCCTCACCATGGGAAGGTGACAATCCATCGAGGGGGAACATATGGTTCACCTTTTCAATGAAAGAACAAAAGTGAAAGAAGCCCACAACTTGCCAGGCATTTTATGTTTTGATTTGCTTTTGGTTTATGTGTATTTGTTATATTGTTGTTTTATTGAGGCCTTGACCTTTGTAAGCCGCATCGAGTCCTTCGGGAGATGTTAGCGGGATACAAATAATAATAATAATAATAATAATAATGTATGCACCATCATTGATTTGCAGCAAATGGAGAGACTCTTTGGGAAAATGAACTTTAGAGATAAGCAAACTATAATAAAAGAACGTCTACACTCTTCTGTCACATAAGTTGCTGTAATATCAGAGCTGGAGAAATTGGAGCTTCCAATTTATTATTGGCTGTAGCTCCCATAAGCTAATTGTCAAGAAAAATGGACAGATGGAAGCCCTAGAGATTGAGCACTGTCCTCCTCCTCCTCCTCCTCCTCTCCCTCTTCTTCCTATTCTTCTGGAGAGCAGTGAAAACTTCCACTTAGACGCTACTACAACAGTTACCTCAGCTCTGATGGATATCAATCAGACAATAAAAGAAGAATCTCTCCAAAAACGCATACTGTTCAGTTGTCTTCCAGGCAAAGATAGCATAGCTAAAAATGAGAAGCAATTTCCATAGCCCAAGAGAAAGCAAATCAAGGCTGTTCAAGCTTGCCCAGCTTGTTTTGAACTTTTCAAGAGCAGCTAACTTTTTCAAAAAGCACAAAAGCTTTATGAAGCCGGCATCTCTCGCCTTCAACTAGTTTAGTATTTGCAGAAGTGTGTAGGAGAAAAAGCAGGATGGGCTTTACTAGATTCCTCTGATAGGATGCAACATATTCTTGGTTGTCTATTTTTGTAGAATGCCAGTAGGTTTGGCAGATGCCGTTTGGCGCCACCGCCTTAAAGCATGACCTTGTGAATTCAGAACATAAAAGCAACCAAAATAAGCCACTCCATTGAAAATCCATGCATCTATCATGCGGGAGGTGTAGATAAAGCGTTTATTCAAATTCAAGTGCCAAAGTGTTTGAACTAGTTAGGTATCTTTCTGAGTAGAGCCGTGAGCATAGGTAATAGATTTAATTATTAATTTTTCCATTGTTCCATTGTATGCGGAGAGGGTTCAAGGCGTAGCCATTTCTCGGCTTCCACAGATCTAATTTGTATAATTATTGCCTGCATAAAGAATGGCTCCAGTTCTTAACTCCCTCTCTGCCATCTCCTCTAATGTTATTTCAAGTCTGCATTCCAGGAGCAGGAACACCTGCTGCTGCTTCAAAGTCAGCTGACGGGGTTCCATGATGCAGTGCGTGCCGCCTATTTCAGCGCTCCTTTTTAAGCCTTTTTTATTTTTTGCTAAACGAATTATTGTGCCTCCTCTTAATTGTACTGAACAAATTACATTTGTCAAGGTCTGTCTTTGTAAATAAATAACTAGAGACACATGGATGAGTATTTATGCTACTCAAGGTCTCTTGTTCCATTTGTGGGAGCCAGATGAACATGAAACAAAAGAGAACTTTCCTCTAAAAGCAATTATCTCCCTGCATTCCCATCAGGATAATTATGTCGCAGGGAATGCTAAGAAACTGCAGAAGTAGAACTGAATGCTTAAAAGCCATGTTTGCTGAACTGTTGTGCAAAAGTTGAACAGAGAAGACTAGATCATTATTCCTGGGGAACACCACCAAGACCGTTCTAACTCACATTCAATAAAATGGACAAAATGTTAAGTTGTCATTTTAGATAAAGCGGAGGCCAATGGGAGGAAGAACAGAGACAATCCCAGCCCCGATTCATATTTGGAGTTCGCCCCGATTCATATGTTGACTTGACATAATGGGAGAGAAGTTGTACAAATTTGGGTTGATGCTCCTTTCTTCTTCTCTCTGGAGAAGACACCGAAAGCTTCCACTCTAGACGTTATTACAATTCTTTCTTGTATCTGAAACCTAATTGTTAATAAAATCAAGTGAGTATGTCAAGGCACAGTTTCATTCTGGAAGTGAGCTCTTACTCATTGAGGTTGGATGTGAAGGTTTCAGCAGTGCTAGGATGAGCAGTTAAAACTAGTGTACCTGTTGGTGTGATCTTCTCCATTATGACACATGTTTAGGGCTAATCGTGCCTGGATTATTATAGTTCAGACATGGGCAATCTTTTTTGTCTTGGGGCCGCATTGTGGGCCCAGCTGGGAGGATTGGGCCAAGAGGGAGGGGGCCAGGCAGGGGCGGCTCAACCCATTACGCAAAGTAAGCATTTGCAGTATAGTTGATTTTGCCCAGGGGCGCTCTTGGGGAAAAATAGACCTTGACATATGCGAGTTGTAGTTACTGGGATGTATAGTTCACCTACAATCAAAGAGCATTCTGAACTCCACCAATGATGGAATTGAACCAAATATGGCACACAGAACTCCCACGATGAACAGGAAATATATATCAGTGGTTGGGGGAGGGGGGGGGCAAAATACTGTTTGCTTACCGTTGAAAATTACCTAGGGCCACCTCTGGGGCCTGGTACATGGTGGGTGGGTGTGGGCCCAGGAGGGGGAGGGTCTGGGAGTTTGTGGGTCCAGGAAGGGGCAGGTCAGGTCCTGGGTCATCCTCAGGTTGTCCTCCAGCATAAGAGCTCCTTATGCCCGGAGGAAGGCGAGACATGCAGTGATCCTCCCCCCGATCCCCTTCTATATCCTCCTCCCCCAATCCTTGGGCTGTCCTCTTGGCATTATGCCGGGGGGTGGGGGTGGTTGATAGTGCTCCAGAGGACTCTCAGCCACCGCATGCCTTCTTTGAGCCATCCTCCTGGCATAAGGATGGGGCTGCTCTCACTGTCCTTATGCTGGGAGGAGGTCAAGACACACAGTGGCTGAGAGAGCTCCAGAGGGTTCACAGTTGCTCCGTGCCTTCCTCCCCCATCTTTTTGGCATAAGGATGTTGCGGGCCACTGGGACCTTCTGCCAAGAGGAGAGGGAAAATGAGAAGGGCCTGAGATAAACACCTGGGGGGGGGGGGCGCATCCAGCCCCTGGGCCTTTGTTTGCCCATGTCTGCTATAGTTGCTGTTGTATGCCATCAAGTCATTATGGCAACACTCAGGTGAAACTATTACAGGTTTGCATGACTATTACAGGTTTGCATTGTTCAGAGATGGTTTTTCTTTGCCTCCTCAGAAGCTGAGAAAGTGTGACTTGCTCATAACCACGAGTAGGTTTCCATGATTGACTGTGGATTTAGACCCTCATCTCCATAGTCTAAAGTACACATCACTCTGCCATGCTTTTCCCTTTACTATAGTTAGCAAATCACAAGTCACTAACTTTTTCATTCCAAACATGGTTAAGGCAGGGTGTTAATAAGTTTCTTTGTTTCTTTATTTTATTGTGCTCCTTAATTGTCTGTTGATGGTGGGAAAATTTAGTTGGTTATTTTTTATCTTGCCTGTTCCATAGTGCAGGGTGGCTGACAACATAAATTAAAACAAAATGGAACTATTAACTGATCAATTGAAAAAACAATGAAAATACAAATACGCAGTCAATCCCCTCTGCCTCAGCGTCTTCCATTCCTTGCACTTTTGGAACACTTTCCACTTGAGGCAATTGCCTGATTTTGCCTAATATTAGGACTGGCCTAGGCTGAATCCCGAGATAGTTCTTTAACTATTGAAATGGGTTTTAAAAGTTAGGGTGTACTGGCACTGTACAAATGTATCAGTTTTATTCTTTTAACAGTTATAGTTCTCTGGAATGCAGGGATTTGTAGATGGGTGATGTACATTGAATTCTGTGTACTGGTGATAATCCTAGTAATGCTGCAATTCATGGGAATCTATTGGAGAATTCAAGGCCACTTGTCAAACTCCAAATCCCAAGATTCTGTGTGATGGAGCCATAAAAGATAAAGTAGTGTTAAACTGGTATAACCTAAACTGTTAGCCCCCCTTTCCACTATGCAATTATAATATTATGCTTTAAATTTAACCACTATGGCAAAATCCTATGGACTCCTATGATATACAGTTGTGGTACTTATAGCCAAAGAGTTGTAGTAGCACACCAAACTACAGGATTCCATCACATGGAGTGTCAAAGGACCTAAGACCTTGACAAACAACCTCATAACACAGATGCCCCATCCCCCATGCATTTTCACTAGCTTCCGTGGTGAAACGGCAGGGATGCGGATGACTCTGTCACCTCGTGCGCCACTTCTGAATGGCGACGTTTCTCTCAGCACATGGATCCAGCACAACATGGGAGCCTTCCCGTGTTAGGAGAGAAATGTCCTATGATGCTTCCACTCTGGTTGAGGATGAGACTTCAACAGGAAGTTCAGCAATGGTTTGTGATGGGCAGTGTGCCTATCCAACCCTAGACTGTCCCTTTAGCATCCTAGGATGCTAACAAAGGTAAGTGTGATGAGATGCGAATATTTAACAAAATATACATTACTTGCTTTGGACTGTGGTTGAAATAGTTTTTCTTTCCCTTTTTATTCAGGTTGTGGCAGTACTACACATTTTCCAAAGAAACTGAGCAAGCGTTGTATGGCTGCAGAAATAACAGGAACCAACTGACTAATGTTCTTCTGGAGAAAGACCACCAGCCAACCAGGAACGAAGTCAAAAGGTGACTCAACAGCAACTAATAGTCTGTGTACTATTCAGACTGCTGAATAGATACATGTGGTTAGTGGTGCATTATTGAGTCATGGTGCCAACTTGAGCACAGTTTTTTCCTTGAGAAAGAACATGCTGATGATCATTTGTGGTTTATGCCTGGATCTCATGTTCTTGTTAGGTACTGTAATGCCGACTACCAATTCTTAAAAATGCATGCTTATTTTACAGAGACAGTGTTTTCCTTCTTTGGACAAGCTCCGAGAGGATAGAATTCCTTGAAAAAAACAGTCAGAATGAGACCTTATAAATTACTAGGAGAATGCTGGAAAGGAGGGTGGGTGGGTTTTTTTCTCCAGTTTAATTAACGTGGCTGATGAGCCTAAAAATCATGACACTTCAGCTGTAGGCTATTAAGGCGGATGGCCTACAATTTCCCTTAATCAAGTTGATCAGCAATACTCAACTGGAGAGGAACAAATACCCCCTTTTAGTCAGTGGCTTTATGATGAAATAGCTCATCGGTGCAGGGTTATTTCAAGAGCTTGGAAATAGGATTTTTGCACTACAACTCCCAGAATCCACCTGCAAACATGGTTAGGGGGGATTTATAGAGGCTAGGGGATGGTGGTTGGGGGGAAATTTATAAAAAGTAACTTTTTCAAGCTCCTAAGATTTGTGGAAGATGTTCTGCTCCTGTTCTGTTCTGCTCCAGGGACTGAGGGCATAGAGCATATAATTGTTTCTATATATGTACTTACAAAATCAACATCAACATTTATATGAAGCAAAATACAATATATTTTAAAGTTCTGTTGCTCTTTTTTTCTCTCTGAACCCCAGCTAGGGCTGACTTAAGGCATTCCATTGCCTGAAGTAAAGGAGAAAATTGAGACTCTTCTGTAAATCTCATCTCCCATCTGTTAGTTCAGAGTTACTCAAAAATGGTGGCTCTTGGCCTAGGACCAGTCCATGAAGGCTGTGAATTTCCAGGATAGAAGTAAACAGTTGTAACCAATGGGCACCAATATGATGCTGGTTCCTGGCACACGACATAAAATAAATTCACAATCTGCCCTATCAGATTCTTTAAGAAGCTCTGCAGAAGTTTACTCTCTTGGCCACACTCCTAGCGATGTTAAGAACCTAACCAAACTACAAATAACATGAAGGCATGAAGTAAGATAGAACTTCCATAATTGTTGTGTAAATATATTCATGGTACTGTCCCTGAAAACTTCCTTGCTGTTTCTCACCACCCAGCAACTGCTGCCTGAAGCAGCCTTCTCATTGTTCCTAATTGTAAGACCATCCCTACTGTTATTTAGGAAATCTTCTTGGATAGTTACTGTTCTTAGCCTGCCTTCAAGGGAGGCTGCAGTGGGTGGTAAAGTCAGATATTTATGGACCATGAGATCAGCAAAATGCTCACCATCCTAACCTATTTTGCAGAATCTAAAGCCCAATTGTGCTCTTGTATCTGCCTTTAGTAAAGAGCACATGCAAAAGGAGAGCTGTGGAATGGTACCTTATTTTCAGACCTCATCTCTCAAGCTAGTGTAGCATGTTCAAATCCTCTTATATACTCTAATGACATTGACAGATGTCCACCTAAGGTTGCTCCAGTTCATAGAGGGGCTTGGGGAATCTGGCACCCCATGCCCCGCATTGCCTGGCTCCAGCCGAGGGCAATCAGATGGAGGAAAGTGTGAGCTCGCGTAGTGTGTGCAGCTTCCCCCCCATACATTCTATGGCAACATGGCAGCTCTCCTGTGTTGCCTTGCCAGTGGCATGTACTGGCTCCACTCTCCTTTACCCATGGAGCAAGCATAGCATCATGTGAAGGGAGCCGGCCTGCTTCATAGGTGACCTGGGCTAAAATCAGTGCATGCTGCCAATTTTAGCCCTTTGTGATGAGATTCCAAAATCCTGCAACCACTGCTGCCACTTCCTACTCAACTATCAAAGGGCACATGACGAAATGCCAATGATCTTTAGTTGGTCTGTTCTGTGTGATCCTGTCACCACACAAGTCCATCAGAACATGCCACTCAGGGAATGCAGAACAATGAAAAGGGTTTTTAAAAGGTGGTACCTGAAAGCAAGTCCAAACATGGAGCTGTCAGTCCTAGTAAATAGTCCCCAGTGTCCTGACAGGTTCATTTGTAGCACATTTTACAAATCTGCAAGATGGAGATGGGACATTCACAAGAAATTTTCTTTTAATTTTTTAAATTGACACTCCGAGATGCTCTGGATCAGAGGTGCCGATGCGGATATACAAATGTGTACATAAGAGATGATTTCTTGTCATCTCTTCTTACCCTCTTGCTGCCTTTGCATTTGCCCTCTTAAACCTCGTTTCTCTTTGGCATTTCTTGCCTGCCATACTGATGTCCACTGTATAAATTCAAGCTCTGTTTAATTTCATAAATATGAGAACAAAGGAATGGTTGCAAAGAATTCTCATGGAAATTGCTTTCCATTTGTGCTTCCATTTAGCCACCCGTGTGTCTGGGGCTCCATTTGTTTACAATCTTCATCAGCTGTTTCAGGATTTTAAAATGTACATATGCACTGGAGCAGTCCACACCAGGGTATACAAATGAAATCATGTGTTTTTCTTGAGTGCAGGGATATACAGTGATGCGAATATGCACTTTTTTTGGCCTATCTCAAATTTGAAGCACACTTTTTTGACGTGTGTTTTCCAGCTGATGATGCGATTTAGCGTGCATTTTCAGCAGGGGTCATCTAGCCTTTTGAGACAATTTGAGACAATTCACTCCTCACACTTGGCCTAGCTTGCCCTCATATAAATTCTTGTATTGTTTTTATACTCTATTTTATTATATTATCGTTACTGTCTTATTGTTTTATTATGTTATTGTATAAGCATTTTTTACTTGATGTTGTCGTGTGTCTTGTATGTGCTTTATTTTGCTTTATTGTAATTGTTTGGGCTTGGTCCCATGTTAGCTGCCCCGAGTCCCCTTGGGGAGATGGAGGCGGGGTACAAATAAAAGTTACTGTTATTATTATAGCCGACACCCCCTTTTATCCCAGTTTCTTTTGGATTTTAGGGCCCGCATAGAAGGGCCCTCAATACATCTAAGAAATGTCTCCGTAGGCATCATGAATGTCATAATTGCCCCTCTTAATTGTCACCTCAGCTTTCATACCAAGCAAATGCAATGAATGTGGTCATAAATTGATTGTGTAAACTGTGAGTAGCCTAGCTAGACCCCAATGTGGAAAGTCAAGAGGTGAAAGAGTTCTGAGAAGGGCAACCTAGTTATAACCCATTTAGAAATCTGTTTAATAAGGGATCTACTTTTGCTCACCAGCTGTAATCTTGCAGGAAAGGGAAGGTATAACTTCACTACAATGCATTTTCTTTATCATGAGTCTCTTTCCACTACTGGCTTTTCAATCCAATTCTCTCTCTCTCTCTCTCTCTCTCTCTCTCTCTCTCTCTCTCCTTGGCTTTTCCAACTCAGCTACAGCACATTAACTCTTCGTGAAGTATAAACTAGAGGACAGCAAGTGCCAGACCATTTTTTTTCTCAAATGGTTTCCAAATCTGCGGAATTTCCTGCCTGGCTACATCAGATCGGCCAACAACTTCGTAATTGTCTCAAAACAGTTGGTTGACTTTTTTGTTTTTAAAGTTGGCCAGGTTGAGTTGCTGTTTTTTCTTCCCTTCCCTTAAATGAAATCAGCATCTTGAGATGCTTATGTTTTCTCAGGGTGCACCGTGATTTGTTATTTATGATCAAGATGCCCTACAAGAGACAGTTTTAAGTCAGTGGTGAGAGAGAGATTGTATTTCTTTTAATGATTTGAAAACAGGAGCAGGAAGCCAGTACTTCTGATGTAAAAATAGGAATCCACTTAACATGAAGGCCACATGATTCCCAATTACAGGGTATTTCATTCTTTTCTTTTTCCTTCCTTCCTTCCTTCTTTCCTTCCTTCTGTTTTCCCCACTCCTCTTTCAACCTCAGTGTGCAGGATGGGAAAAAGAAGGAAGGAAGATCCATGTTTTGTCATATTTGTCTATTTGTCTATTCTAGTTCAAATCTGACACCCAGATTACGAACAGAGCACCAGAATGGAAAGAAAACTGTCTGAAATATTAGTTCACACGTCTGTTTTATCCCAATTATAGTTACTCAAACATGTATGAGGCTACAGTTGCCATCATCCCCGGCCTCCATGGTGTCCCAAGGGTCTGTCAGAACCCTGACCATGCTTGGGATTGAACCTGTCACCTTTGATATGCAAAGCATGGGTTTTGCTACTGAATTGTGCCTCAACCCCACCAATAAAGTTGGCATTTTTCTGCATGGCCTGTATGGCGTTAACACCACTACCACCAATTTATTATTAATTCATAAGAAAAGATACAAATTCAGTCCCACTCAGCAAGCAGAGCCTGCATCCGAGCCAGATCCACAAATGGAAATGTCGCACCTTTTGTGACATATTGGGCATAGATCTAATAAATTGGATTATAAAATAAAACATGGGATCTAAATTTTGATCATATGAGGAGGAAGGTACTGAAGACACTCTTCATTTAGGACAGTGGTTCTCAACTTGTGAGTCCCCAAGTATTTTGGCCTATAACTCTCAGAAATCCCAGCTAGTTCACCAACGATTAGGATTTCTGGGAGTTGAAGGCCAAAATATCTCGGGACCCACAGGTTGAGAACAATTGATTTAGGACATCTTTCAGTCTGTGATGAGAGGGCGTGAGATACATTTTGAAGGAAATCTTTGTAAGATTTTGTAAAACTTTTATAACATATATCTCCCTCTACATCCTGCCTTGGAATTTAAGATCGTCTGAGGAAGCCCTGCTCTCGGTCCCACCCTCTCTGCAAGCGCAATTGGCGGGGACTAGTGACAGGGCCTTCTCGGTGGTGGCCCCTCGCCTGTGGAATGCTCTCCCTAGTGAAATTAGGTCGGCTTCATCCCTCCTCTCTTTTAGAAAGAAGCTCAAAACATGTTTGTGGGACCAGGCCTTTGGACAGTAGGTATTCACAATGCTTGAATTCTGACAATGACAGGCTTGGACTGAGTCGTCAGTTTCTAAATTAGAGTTGGACTCAGCTATATGATGAACAATAATGTTTTAACGTATTTTAATCCAATGTATTTTAATGTATTTTAATCTAATGCTTTTTCTCTTATATAATGTTGTTTATATAATGTGTTTGTATGTTGTCGGCATTGAATTGCTGCCATTGTAAGCTGCCCTGAATTCCTCTTCAGGGGTTGAGAAGGACAGGGTAGAAATGTTGGAAATAATAATAATAATAATCTTCATCATCATCATTTCTAAATTCTGAGTGAATAAAAGTGCCAATAGGGTATATTATTATTGTTATTGTTATTTGAAACACAAAAAGATGAGTCCACAGCAGACAAGATCACTCTGCTGGCTGTTGTATTGGATCACAAGTTGGACACTTCCCAAGTGTCTTGGTCTGTGTGATGTATCGACGAATAATGCGTGCAGATCCCAGTAAGATGGCCTTCTGCAGCTGGCAGATGGTAATTTTGTCAGCGCCGATTGTATTTAAGTGGAGGCCAAGGTCTTTAGAAACTGCACCCAGTGTGCCGATCACCACTGGGACCACCTTTACTGGCTTGTGCCAGATTCTTTGCAGTTTGATCTTTAAATCCTCATATCATGTAAGCTTTTCCAGTTGTTTCTCTTCAATCCTGCTGTCACCTGGGATTGCAACATCAACAATCCATACTTTGTTTTTTAACATGGTTGTGATGTCAGGAGTATTGTGCTCCAGACTCTGTCGTCGTCGTCGTCGTCGTCGTCGTCTTCTTCTTCTTCTTCTTCTTCTTCTTCTTCTTCTTCTTCTCCTTCTCCTTCTCCTTCTCCTTCTCCTTCTCCTTCTCCTTCTCCTCCTCCTCCTCCTCCTCCTCCTCCTCCTCCTTCCTAAATTCTGAATAAAAGTGCCAATAGGGTGGGTATATTTAGAAAACATTAAGTTCAGAGCTCATGAGATTTTTGAGTGTTTTGACTTGAGAAGTATTTGTGGTGAGATCCCATTTATCAACAGAAATAATAAATTAGTTGAGGAATTCTGTAGGAAATTTTTTACTGCTGACAGAAATCGTCCCTGTTCTCCCTCCTCTGAAGACATTTCAGTTTTATCCCTGATTGTAAACTAAACCTGCTCAAATTCATTAAATGGCAACGTGCCATTTCCTTAGTCCTGGTGAAATTTATCAGAGGTATTTTTTCCTCCCGCCCGGGCTGCAGGAAAAACATATGTTACCATGCCAAGGAAAACAATAACGCGGAAATGTTATGCTCCAGTTTGACCAAATGACCCGTTCCCTTTTTAGATTAGTTCTTAATCCTAGCACAAGGGTCATCCTGTAAGAATACTTCTGTGACAAGTCAGTGTTCACCCCTCATGTGGGAGGAGGGCTGGAGGGAAGTGACTTATTATAAAACTCACTGTACTCATTGCAGTTAATGAGATGTGGAAAGCTTTGTAATTTGATTTGCTGGACCATATGCTGTAAAAGGATACTGCTGATTTCATTCCTCCACATTTAATTTAAGCAGTATGCAACAGCTTCTTCATATGGCTACTTGTATAATAAAAATTAACGTGGAGTATTTAAAAAAATGAAAAGGAAAGCATGCACACACCATTGTTGGCTTTATTACTTAGTGCGGTTGGATTGCAAGAGTTTTTTTCCTCCTTCTTTTTCTCGTTGAAAACATCTGCAAGTAATATGTGGGTCTAATTTTAAATCCTGGCAAATATTTTCCACTTAACATTAGGGTTCTTTAAAAAAAAGAAAGAATCCTGACAAGACTGGAGTGGCAGTTTTTTGGGAGCCTGTCTGTAACGGATATGCCTTCGCAAGGACAAAAACATTTCTTAATTGGAGCTAACTGTAATCCAAAACTTTAGCGTTCTCCTGACCTCCCTCCCACACTTAATTTAGACACTGCAACGCAAACAGCAGTGCAATGAAATTAGACTTCTGTCTTTTTAAATACCGCTTGCAATGGAATACATTGTTTCTCTCCAAATAATAGTCCTCCTCGGTTTTTTTGGCTTTTCTTTCCGCCATCTGCTTAGAGCAAACACAGACTCTCAAACTCAGCTATAAAACCGGTCGGACAGAGTTGTGTTGCCTGTGCATAGGTCTCATTGGGGCCACTCCACAAAACCAAACCACATTAGGCTCTCATGAGGTTGAAGTGTTTGACCCCAACTGTATTTGTTGCATCCATGCAACCAAAAAAGCTATAGGACTGAGTCCCCATCTACTCTGCAATTTTCACTGCATTATAATGATTAGTGTGGACTCATGTAATGTAGTTTGTACTGCAATGAACTGGATTTTATGAGTCTACACCGCCATATAATTCAATGCAGTTATATGGCAGTGTAGATGGGGCCTGAGTCCTGGGGTGATTATTAATTATTTACTTATTTTGGACATTTATATCCTGTCCTATCTCAACCTCCACAGAGGAACTCAGTCCCATAGCTTTTTTGGCTGCATGGATGCAACAAATACAACCGGCTAACAACCGGCACAACATGGTGCCACAACAAAAGCATAAATATACAGATTAAATAAAAACACTATAATAAAATATAAAAACTTTCAGACAATCGCCAAGTTAAGTCATCATCCTAAAAATAGTCCATCCAGTCTATTAAAGCCATAGCTTCACCAGCATGTCAGCCTAGGCCGCAAAGGCCTGATTCCACAGCCAGGATTTCACTTGTTTCCGAAAAGTCAGGAGAGATGGGGCAGCTCTAATTTCACTTGGGAGAGAGTTCCACAGCCAAGGGACCACTATAGAGAAGGCCCTGTCTCTTGTCCCCACCAACCGCAATTGCGATGGTGGGGGACAGCGAGCAGGGCCTCCTCAGACGATCTTAGGGTCCTAGGTGGATCATAGTGAGAGCTACGTTTGGACAGGTAAACGTAGCCAGAACCGTTCAGGGTGATGTTCAGGATCTAATAGTAAAAGTAAAGGTTTCCCCTCAACATTAAGTCCAATCGTGTATGACTCTGGGGTGTGGTGCTCATCTCCATTTCTAAGCTGAAGAGCCGGCGTTGTCCGTAGACACCTCCAAGGTCATGTGGCCAGTGTGACTTCATGGAGCGCCGTTACCTTACCACTGGAGCGGTAACTATTGATTTATTCACTGAATTTGCTGACTGGAAGGTTGGCGGTTCAAATCCAGGGAGCAGGGTGAGCTCCTGCTGCTAGCCCCAGCTTCTGCCAACCTAGCAGTTCAAAAACATGCAAATTTGAGTAGATTAATAGGTACCACTTTGGCGGGAAGGTAATGTTGCTCCATGCAGTCACGCTGGCCACATGACCTTGGAGGTGTCTATGGACAATGCCGGCTCTTCAGCTTAGAAATGGAGATGGGCACCACTCCCCAGAGTCAGACACAAACCTTTACCTTAAGATCTTAACGTGTGCCTTATACCTGTGATTTTCCTGTCAGAAGAATATTCCTAAAAAGAACATGTTTATCCTGGTGGTTTAGTGGGCTGGATGCACATTGGATATATTTTATGAGTCAAAGCTGGGCAGATTTTGAGTCTTGGAATCAACTTTT